AAGGTCACGACGTGTCCTGGTCACAACTGTGAACCTTGAAATTTGATTATTGCGATATTCATAGGCATTCCAAGGTCTGACTGTCAAGCGAGATCCCCTAGGCCATCCGTGATGAACATTTCACTATCCTTTCCGTTTTCAAGTTCCCAGCCATTTAAAAGGAACAGTGAGCTTTATGATGCACCTTGATGAAAGGGTTTGGTGTTGCAAGCACCCCGATGCTTGTTTTTCACCTCGTCATTCTTTAGATTCACCAAAACATTACAAGACTGTCATACGGTGGTCGGAAGAAGTGCTCAGTTCAAATGTATCGTCAGCGGAATGCCCCCACCAGAGGTGGCATGGTATGTCGATGGAGATGTCATTCAATCCAGCCGGTGAGCTTCATTCTTCTTCTCGTGTCACATTAGAACCCCCCGCCCCAAGACAGCTCCTTTTAAGGGAATATGAAATCGTATACGAAGATGGTGTTTGCATTCTGCGGATCAACGAGGCATTGGCCGAAGATGAAGGCGAGTACAGCTGCGAGGCGAAGAACTCGGCTGGCAAGGCGGTAACCAAATGCTATCTGAAAGTTCTCAGTAAGTTTCCAAGTTTTATTCGAAAACGCCTTAATGTTAGATGGGAATTCAAGTGTGGACGTCGAGCAACGACATCTCAAGTGCCAAAATCACAAAATAAAACGTCGATGATCGTTTCTCATCACTGACATGCTCACATGCTCTCGCCAATGATTCTCATTCGTGCTAGGCATGTAGGCAACGTTCAGACTTCGCGATGACGCGCGTCGACGCGCTACAATTGCAACAGCGCTCCAGTCCTATTGGCACGAACGCAGCCGCAGACGAATCGATCGACGTCGCCGGCTGCGGCCCAGTTGCCACTGCCGATCGATATCAGACTGCGTGAGCCAGCGTTTCGTAGGCAAATATAGCATGAGCAAAAGTGCCCACGAAAACGCTGCTGGACGCTGGCGTTCGCTAGATCGACATCCATACTTTCCTGTTCGCTGGCGCTGGCGTACGCTCAAAAAAATGTGAACGCCTGAAGTGGGCGGCGCCGTCTGCAGCTGCGTTCGCCTCTATAGCCTTGGAGCGCCACTGTTGCAACTGTAGTGCATCATAGCGCGCCGTCGCGTGTCGACGCACGGTACAGCGCCGTCGTCGCGAAGTCTGAACGCTGCTGTACGTACGTCTTTTGCCACAGCCTATTTCCCTTCGAAATAACCATCGCCTTCCATCCAATAGCTAACTTTCAGTTCATTCATGTAGATCAGCTTACGTTTTGTTTTGTGTTTTGTGCCTTTCGTATGTGTGTTGTCTGGCGGCTGCGCTCCCCTCTACATGCATGGAAATGACAATGAGAACCTCCCCGTTTTCCATTTCAGAAGACGAACCGCCACCGGCTCCACGCTTTATCGAGCACGCCCCATCGCTAGTCGAACTCGTTGACGATGCTGAAGACTCATTCGATTCCTTCGAATGGGAGGAAAAGAAGGCCAACAAGCTGTTCGCTTCTGATACCGAATCACTTCATCCCTCCTCAGTTACTTACAACTCCGAATTTGACCTTTCGAGAATAGTGAATTACAACGAGGATATGAAGGAGACCAATGCCTTCCACAGGTATTTCGACACGGCTGAGGCCGGGGTTCGAGTCCTGGAGTGGGAGCAACGCGAACGACTCTACGCTTCATTCCTAAGCAGACCAGCGGCGAGTGCCCGGCTGGACCTCATCATTCCCAAGCCGGCTTCTTATAGTTCTGCTGCGCATCTTTTTGCAATTCCTTCAATACAAATCACCCATGCGGACATCGTAGGAAGCCATGAAAAATCAGAGACTGAGCTCCAAAATGAGCGACCTGGAAGCGCCGCCAAGACTGAAACGAAGGAACCTCGTGAACCAGATCTGCCCTCGAAAATGTCCTATAAGGGACAGGAGATTGCCATCTCAGTTAATGAGATAGAGAAGGAAGAGATGACCCTAAATGAGAGCGGTGAGGTGGAAATCTCGAAGAAAACCTGCATGGAGACCTCACTCGAGTTCGATACTGAGCTCGACATCACACAGTCTATTAGGAAAATCCGTAACGCACTGCCTGAGGAAAACGATGATTTCGACCTTGGTGCCGAGACGAAGGTTGAAAATCACGAGATACCTGCAGAACCCACAGAAAAACCAGACCTGTCCGATAGACCTCGAGCCCAGTCTACCCTCCCAAAACCGCGTCCTTTGGGCAAACAGGCAAGTCGGTCTCGGAAGGCACTGCAAAACTCGAGTCAACCATGTTTGACCCAGAATTTCTCAGTAAAATGAAAGAAATTGAACGAATAGCTCGTCAAGTGGACGAAGAGCTCGGCCATCTCTCCTCCTCACCACGTCCGACAGCCTCACCTCCAGAAGATGCAAAGGAAATTGAGGAGGCCATTTACAAGATTTCTGACCAGCTCATGCTTGCCCGTCCTATAACTGAAGCTCAAGCAGAAGCGAATGAAGAGCTGCTCAGAACTACTCTGGCCGACATGATTTTGAATCCATCAAGAACTGCTGCAGAAGAGATTGAGCTAATGACACGCCCCATCCAACTTTTGAAGAGAAAACTGTCCGACCTCGAGAATTCTCTGCTGGAAGACGCAGAGGTGACAGATATTACTGAACATCCTTGCCCTATCACTGAGACCGCCATTCTTACGGGTGAAACACCACCAGTTTTGAGAGCTAAAAAAGGTTCTCGAAACCGAGTCCCAAGTGCGGGTTACCTGAGAGTTACCCCACTGACGACTAACATCAAGGATCAGTTATCGAGTCTTGAAGAGATGATCTCTCAGATGAATGGTGAAACTTCAGATTCCACGACGGACGACGCAGACACCCATCCCTTGGTCAAAGGGAGCAGCCAGAAGAAACGAGAGCTGCACGACTTATTTGTTCAGATCAACAACGAAATTAACACGATCAAGACTTACTGCAGGACTCAGTTGTCTAAGAGGGGCACCGATGCCGTCATGAACGTCCTTCACAAAGTTCGCACTCATGTGACGAGTATTGTGAACGTAATGTCCCTCTCAAAGAGGAAACATGCGAAAGCTATAGACAAGCATGCCGTAACAGTTACCACCAACTGTGACTTTGGACGGCCATCTGAAACATACCAGACGGAGGTGGTGGTGATGACAAAATCGTCATCCGTGGAGAACTCAGACTACCATAGGTCATCCACAGCTGTTTCAACAAGTGACGATACATGGAAATACTCCACAGATCTGAAAAGCGCGCTGAAAGGAGTCGTACCGAACGGGATTGACGAAGAAGATGAGCCGCCCCTAATAGGGACCGTTGAATGCACCACAGAGGAAGAAGCTCCCGCTCCCGCTCCTGCTCCTATCGCTCCCCCGCGACGACGTCGAACTCGCAGTGCAGATGCGGAGCCTACGGATCCTCCATCCAGGCCTCCTAGAAAGATGAAGGAAAGTCTCAAAAAGCGAGATCTTTCGCTGGACAACAAACGCACTCCAGCGGCTCCGTTGAATGGTGAGAAGCCAGGAGACTCTCCTATTCTGCCCTCAAAAGATGCCAGTCCTCCTGGTAAAACGAAAAAGTCCTTTGCGGGTGACACATTTGACATGCTAAGGAACTTTAGCTGTGTGCGAGCCCAGAAAGGCCAAGAGGATTTGGAGAAATCGCTTCTCGAAGAGCTCAGTCAGATGGCTGTAACCCCAAAAGAGGACGAAGTGCTGTCTGAACCTGAATGGGTACAAAATGAACTGGAAGAGTCGTTGAAAAGAGGTGCCGAAAGGGCTAAAGTTGAACGAAGCAAGGATATTGAAGTGGAACTTGAGCCCGTGTCGATTTACGAGACCCCTAAGGCAACTACTCCTGAGAGAGAAATCGACGCCAAGGAAAAACAAAAAGTTATGGCTCTTCCACAATCGGAAAAGCCCGCTGAGGCTTGGCCAGGATCAGAAAAGCCTCCCACGGCGTGGCCAGAAGCAGAGAGGACCGCTGAGGCGTGGCCAAAATCAGAAAAGCCTCCCGAGGCGTGGCCAGAAGCAGAAAGGGCCGCTGAGGCGTGGCCAAAATTAGAAAAGCCTCCCGAGGCATGGCCGAAAACAGAAAAGCCTCCCGAGGAGTGGTCAGAACCAGAAAGGGCCGCTGAGGCGTGGCCAAAATTAGAAAAGCCTCCCGAGGCATGGCCGAAAACAGAAAAGCCTCCCGAGGCGTGGCGGGAACCAGAAAGGACCGTAGAGACCGCCTACGCGGGAACGTCCCTCTCAGCTGCATATCTTCTGCTTTCGGAAGCCACTGCATCATTGGAAATACCATTGACCAGCGTGATGACGACGTCAGGCGACATATGGGCGGAAGACGGTCTAAGTTCTGTGCAGATGACCTGCGAAGAGTCAGACTATGCAACCGACACAGATACCTCAGCCCTGCTCAAGGGAACTGTCCAGTTTTTCAACAAATACTCCCCAAGGGGTACACCCCAGTCAAACTCTTCCATGAGTGCTTCCCAGAGAAATTCAAAGGTTATGCCTGACCTTTCTGAACAAGATGAGTCTGTCGAAATTGCTGTCGATGTTGAGCTGAATAAAACAGGCACCAGCAATAGGGAAGATGTAGAACTGCACTTCAACGAGGTGAGCATGATGACGAAGAGCGACGAGAAGGGTAAACGTGGTTATCTTTTACCTCCCAGTCATGATAAAGTCTCCCCAGAAAAGGAATCGATTTCGGAAGATACTGTACACCTTGTGTTGGAAGAGGCCCACCTCTCTCAGATGGTCTCGTCTGAATGGACAGACGATACCGACGGTCAACCGTCATCGAGAATGGGAATGAGAGAAACTGACATCCTCAGCGATGATTCCGTCATTACAGAGATCGATCGATCAATAATTGACAACATTGACGAGTCGTTCACGTTCACCCGGGCTCCCGCGAAGAAAGCGCTGATCGCGGTTGTTTTCCCGGACGTGCGGATGTTCGCGAGTGCACGAATCGCTGACAACACTTTCGATGTGGAAATACATCAAGAGCCGGAAAGCTTGAGCTTGGTGATAAGAGTGGTCGAGGACCAGGTGAACTTCACTTCCCTCACAGTCACGGGGTTCATTCCTGCCCCGTCAGATGCTCAGAGAGGTTACGATGAGCTGGATGAGTTGAGCTCTATCGAAGACGTAGAAGGGGAGAGTCGCACCGGTATAACTGTCTCAATCGTTGCCAGAAGTCTGCACGATGGCATCTACGCCTCTCTTGAAGAGATCCCCTGGGGAGAGGTCGAGATGACCCTTCCCGAATGTGATACCATGGGCAAAAGCTTGGAAGACGAGTCAAAGACGTCCGTCCAATTCAACGTTACCGTGTCAGAGTCAAACCCAGACGAGAGGAAATCCCTACGTTCCCAAGCCTCCCTGGAACAGTCCCAAAACACAATTTCCGAGGCCGACAACACCCTGAGCAACGGGAGCATCAACATTCCGAGTTATGTCATCAAATTAGGATCAACTGCAACAATTACTTGCGAACTGAACAATTACCTACCGCCAAACAGTAAAATCGACTGGTATAAAGGCACTGCTCAAGTGAAGACCTGCCCAGGAAAGCTGGATAGGATCAGTCACGATCTTCTCGAGGTGCTCATCATAAACAATATTGAAATGGAAGACAACGAGCTATACAGTCTCAAAGTGAACGACGATATTTTCCCAGTAGCGTATTTGATCGTGGAAGCGCCATCGACAGAGGAATTCGGCGCTACCATCCTCACCCCTCCTCAAACCCAATTTGTCATGGAGGGACAGCCGACAGTATTGATGTGCCAAGTGAGCGATCCAAACCAAGAGGTCGTATGGTTGAAGGAGCGGAAACCGCTCAAGGAAACCGCTCGCTTACAGCTGGAGAACTCCGGTGACGGATGGAGCCGTGTGATCTTTTCCCAGACGCGGATGTCCGACCAGGGTACATACTTCGCATTTGTCGGCGATCAAAGCGTCGCCATTACTCTTGTCGTTGAAGGTGAGTGACCCTTACCCCCTAGGCTGCTGAGCTTTGTGTTGCATGGCATGTTTTATTTAGAGCGAATCGACGAGAAAGAGGTGACGGTGGTTGCGTCAGGCACAGAGAGTGAGGACGAGGACGTCCAGGAATACCTGATGCCACCGGGCAGTACAGCTACGATCGCTTGTGAACTCGAGGATGGCGACCACGTGCCCAGTCTTGTGTGGCTCAAAAACGGCCAGGAAATCGCGTTCACCGATCCGAATAAGATGGAACACGTTGTTAACGGCCTCAAGCACTATTTAGTTATTCATGACACTTCTCCTAAAGACACTGGACTTTATAGTGTATCGATTTCGAACACAGAGTTCAGAGTGGCGCATTTGGCTGTGAATGACCTGGCCACGGTCTCACAGAACCTCCGGCGGAAACGTATCTCAAACAGCTCATTGCACTGAAACATTTCCATTTTGCTTACATGCCTGAGGTTCTGGAATGGCCGGTAGAGGTTGCTTCTATTCTCGATGAATTCGTTGCTGCGCTCTCAGGCGCTCAGTCAGGCTGCGTTCATACTTTGCGGCAGCGTCCACCAGCGTCTACGAGCGTAAACTGGCGTTCTGGGCGTCCGGGCAACTAGGAAACTATAGCTATCGATCTAGCGTCTGCCAGCGTCTACCAGCGTCTACCAGCGTCCACCAGCGTTCACCAGTGACCGGGACTAGAGAGTATGGGGAAGTAGGAGGGCAGCAGCATAGCTGAATTAGCTGGCGGAAGTTGTGGCGTGTGCAACTGCACCACACAACTGCTAAAGGATAGAATTGTGCAAATCAATTCACGGTGTAGTGTAGTTGTACGGTGCGGTTGCACACGCCGCAATTTCACGACGCCTAATCCAGCTGTTTGCCACCCTCCTACTTCCCCATACTCTCTACTCTCGGTCGCTGGTGAACGCTGGTAGACGCTGACAGACGCTGGTGGACGCTACCGCAAGGTAT